CGGAAGGGGTGGGGCCCCGCCCGCCCGCGGCCCGCAAGGTGTGCGCAGGCGCGGGCTTCTGTGCCTCAGGGGCCGTGGGCGGCCGTGCTGGAGCTTGCTGATGCTAAAGGCGTCTTGTGTAACCGGACGTCTAGAGTCCCCAAGTCTGGGGACATTTGTGTGGTTCGGGCAGGCAAGCGTGGGACTGCGGTTGTGTAAAATCTCTCAGAGGGTGGAGTTGCCTGCGCCAGGCACACGGCAAAGGCCTGGCTGTCTAAACCACTTCAAAACAAAACGAAACGAAACAAAGCCGCCCGCACGTTACCCGGATGCTTTTTATTAACCGACTTTGTTGATTCTTTGTCGCTCTTCTCTCCAGGGTTCCCGTCAACCCTTTGTGTTAGTTTATATGTAACGCGTAGGCTTCTCTTTGCAGGAAGACGGAGGTGCCACATCAATCAAAAGAGAAAAGGGAGGAAGATCTGTTTGGAAATAAATGCTGACTGATAAATAGTCCTATGACAACATGGTGAATAATTTTTTGTGTGCCATGAAATGATCCTGAACACCCTTTACATGGTTAATCGCATGCACGGTCACTCTTCGCTCTGGTAAAAACTTGGAGGGTTGAGTAGAACTGAGGTTTGTTTTGCTCCGTGGTAAGGCATCTCCCGATCTTGGAAAGTGTTTCTCCTTCCCTTGAAGAATATGAAGTCTTGCTAGACCCCAACAGATATGTGAGATTTCTCCTTCCCGCTGAGGTGAGGCATCATACATCATATATGAGCTACCAAATATCAAAATACATTTAAAATACTTCATCATATATGAGCTACTGAATATCAAAATACATTTAAACATAAGAACTAGACACTTTTAAGAACTTAGCATAGTTATACACTGTCAGTCATTTCTGACAGACAACATACACACACACACAGAGAGAGAGAGAGAGAGAGATAATATGCTGTGACAGACCTTCAGCTCACATCCCAAGCCTGACTTAGCCACACTCACACTATCACACTATCCTCTGGCTCTGAGGGGCCTCAGGTACCCTCACAGATCTCTGCGGAATGAGTTAAACCAGTTTCTCTTGAGAACAACTGACATGAAGGTGCCCCAAGTCTTTAATTAGACTGGCCTTCCAGCAGAGGCCTGCTTCTCTCCTGATGGAGCAACCGAGCTCCCGATTTCAAAACTCACTATGTGGTTGTGCCTCTTCTGCTAAGTGTGTTTCCTGTGAGATTCTTTCGTGTTTTTCTCCCTTTTTAAGTAGTGTGAGCAGAAGGCCCAAAGTTCCCTTTGTGTGGCAATAAGCTGCGAGATTCGTGAAGTCATATTTTGTTCATCTCTTCATTTCCTCCAAGCAAAGCACTAAGGAGCTGAAAAATGAAGTTTAGAGCTTTGATTTCTGATTGACTCGTTTCTCCGTTTCTCTTCCTTCTTTGCACAAGGGTCTATGATTACAGGAGACTGGTTGTTGCTGCTCAGACCATGTGTTTTCTGTCAGACCTTAAACCGTCTCTTGCTCCTCTTTTGTCTTTTGGATTCCACCTGTGGTCTGAAACCCAGCCTGAGTTCCAGCTGTGAGGAGCTTTGAAGTTGACTCTCTTCTCTCACTCCCATTACTAAAGTAACTTATTTTTGTTTTATGCATATGAGAGTTTTGCCTGCATATCTATCTGTGCACCAATGCCCTTGGATATTCCTAAAACTGGAGCTATAGACTCTTGCAAGCCAACGTGTGGGTACTTGGAATTGACCCTAGGCTCTCTGGAAGAACAGTCAGTGCTCTTAACTTCTGAGCCATCTCCCCTGCCCCAGTAAAGGACTTTTTTTAAGGCCAATAGGATTTTAAACTTAAGGCCTTTCCTGTGTTTTAGACCCAGAATAAGGTTATATGTTGTGGCCTGAGGAACAAGCTCTAGAACCCCTGGCATGTCTCAGCCATGCAAATACTTGCAATCCCCCAGAACACACCATTGTGGTTTCATGCTGTCTGACACACTACTTCCTTCTTCCTGAATGACCTCCTCCTTCTGCCTTTTGTTCTGGTAAACACTACATTGGTCTTAAAATTTTAACCTCTTGGCTGTTTCTGCTGTAAAACCTGTCTTGGCTGCCTATAGGGGAGCAGAAACGCTTTCTGTTTCCCACGGTATTTGAGCACAACATGTACACACATTATTTCCATGCTACTGATGCTGATTTCCAAATATAGGGTTTAGGGTCTTTCCAAGGGCCAGGATTACTTGGTTGCTCTTTCCACACGCCTATGCCAGCTAGGAGTGTGGGAGAGATTTTTATACAGGTCAAGCACTATTCTACAGTAAAGGACTCATGATTCATCAAACCTTTGCTCAAAAAAGCCAACTTGGCTAATGGGGCAGCGCAACTTCTTGGTTTTTAACTTTTTATTTCCTTTTTTTTTTTTTTTTTCTGTTTCTGAGACAGAGTTTCTCTGTGCAGCTTTGGTTGTCCTGGAACTTGCATTTAGACCAGGTTGGCCTCGAACTCACAGAGATCCTCCTGCCTCTGTCTCTAAAATGCTGGGATTAAAGGCGTGCGCCACCACTGCCCGGCAGGTTTATACCTTTTCATCACCAGACCACGCCTCAGCTGGTTTTCCCTGCTGAAGCGCTACCACTGGCTCAAACTTCCGAGACCCTCCTTGTGTACTGACTGTCAAGTACCATACCACCTCCATGCCCAGAAGAGCTAACAGCACTTACCGCTAACATTTATTTTTGAAGGGAAAGAACAGGCTATCATTACCTTTTAATAGTTTTAGTATGGGACATTTCAAATAGTTCTCAGAGTTCACAAATGGAGCTCTCTACACTCCTAACTTAGGTTCGAGAATGACTATGGTTATCAGTTTTAGGTAGACACGTAGCTTCTTTCTCTCTCTTCTATTACATTACCTTGAAGGAATACTCCAAGGATCGTATTATTTTTTGTAATACTTTTACTATGCACTCATGACTATTGCTTTTTGTTCAGTTGATTGGATTTAGACTTGCTGTGGAAACACGCCTCTGGGACATTTCCAGGAAGGTTTAACTGAAGATGTCAGTTAACTGACTGTGGGTGGTACCATCCGGGACCCCAGAACGAATGGAAAAGGAGAAAGCAAACTGAAGAGTAGAATTCATCTCTCTTTGCTTCTTGTCTGCAGGTGGAGTGTGACTAGCTGTCCCGTGCAGCTGACATCATTACTTCCTGTCCTTCACAGACTGCACCTTTGAACAGTCTTCACGCCCCTCGTAGCCTTTGTCAGGTCTTTTGTCACAACAACAAGGAAAGTGTCTGTCCCAGAAGATTGGTACCATGGGTGTGGTCGTTGCTGTGATGAACCTAACCATGTGATCTGACGGCCTTTGAAGCTTTGTGGCAGGAAGGTGGAAGAATTTGGAGCGCTCAATAAAAATTCCAGAGTCCCGGGAACTCTGTAAGCTGAGCTCCACGGGCCAGACTTGTGGGAGGCTGGAGAATTAGGATGCTGAGAAGAGATGTTTCAGAAGGGAACAAAGATGATCAGGAACTGGGCTGGAGGCCATTTGTGCTACACTCCAGCAAAGGGTCTGGCTTCATTCTGCCCAGTCCTTTGAATTTACGTGAGGCAGAATTCAAAAGCAATGGACTAATGAATGTTTGGTGGAAGAAATTTCAAGACAGCAAAGAAGTCAGGCTGGGGCAGGGCTGCTGTGCACTGTGTTTAATTTAGAGCTACATCAAGAGCAGCACAATATAAAAAAATACGCAGTCTGGTGAAGAAAAACAAGAAATTTAACGTTGTAGACAGGAGGTTACAGACAACACATCTATTAATTGTTAACAAAGTTAGCAACATTAAAAAGAAACCTCACATTCTTCACAGGGATGATCTGAAAAGTGCCCTGTGGCAAGACCACATTTATCATCGAAAGCTCCAACTTGTGAAAATGTGGGTTAGTAGGAAGAAGAGATCCTATACTTAGGATGCCACCATAGCAGTCCCCTGCTTCAAAATGTCACCTAGTAAAGTGTTTCTCCAGGACCAGCCCTGAAGACACATGACAGCAACAGCAGTTGTAGCAGGCAGCAAGGGAACCTTTAGGTTCAGGACCCCCAGGACCAAGTGTTCAGCATCAAGAAGATTTGTTTGCCCCAAAGGGACAGAGGGCAGGGAATAAGAGACAAAGACAGGAGACAGAGGATGAGGGAGAAGGGGAAGGGACAAGGGGTGGGGGAGGGGTCTTTGTCCCAGAAGTAGAAATAAACAACTGCCTCTGGATAGAGGAGACAGATGTGACCCACAGGCAAATGGTTAATGAAGGTAAAAGGGGAAACCCCTGTGTCAGGATAAAGTGTTTAATTTTAACTGGGCATTGTTAATTAGGTGAGCCAAAGGAGTCTTTTAATTGCTGGGCTTCAATACTTTGATAGCTGGAGCTTGGTAGTCAACCTTAGGAGGAGGAAATGACCTAATAATAGAATAGATCTTGATGGCTCGCTTTAAGAATGTAATCTAATGATTTTTAGCAAGGCAGAGGGAATAGTTGTGAAGGGCAAGGCTTGCCAGAGTCACATGGCCATGCTTGACTGACCAGAGTCCCCTCATGGGCTACATCTCAAG